ACCAGCCATTCCTCGGAAGGAAGGTTGGGCAATCTACTTCCATGGTGATACTGCCTTGGAAACCCAAGAAGGGGTCGTTATGAGTCAGGCCAACTCAAAGGCATTGAGTTTTTTTTTTTTTTTTAATCTTTATGAAAGTAGATCACCAGACCTTTCTTCTGCATTGCTGCTGGGTGGGTCAAACTGCCCATCTTTAGGTGAGTGCAAATGTTTGTGCCACCCAGGGACCTTATAGAAGGGTACAAAGGTACATTTATTTTCAAGCCCAGAAGGAAACAAACAAGAGCTTAAAAAGTACTAGAGATTCAATAAGTTGTTAAATTATTCGAAAGTAAAATAAAATTTAAAATATTTACACGGCTAACCATTTGATGTACACCCTTTTGTTCTCAATAGTTTAATATTTGAGCTTGAATACCATCTCCAAATAACCAATCATCATATTTAAAAATGTTTAAACTCCATTTTCCTGCTAACATTAAAATAAAGAATATAGTCTCTCATTATTTGTACATTCCATATCTGCAAATTCACCTACTAATTAAAATGTATTTGTAACTCTAAAGTCCATACTCATGGCACTTTCAGAGCAGTGAAAATTTCGAGTTGCCCAACACACACATTCCAAATTTACCAGCCAAAAGCTGGTAAATAACGTTAATGCAGAAGACAACTTAATGTTGTATGAGATTCATCAAAGGTTTATATTTTTCGTGTGACTCCTTATAATCAAACCTAATATTAAATCAGTAAAGGATCAAAAAACCATCTCTGGAGAGCTGCTTACCCTCTACTGATAGCAAATCCCAGAAACGGTTGTGCTACAAGGCTTCTCACCTGTGCTGGAGGAGACTGCAAAGGATTATTCTCAAGCAGTAGTATCTGCAGCTGCTTCATCTCTCTAAAACAAATTGGAATCGCGAGCACTTTATTGCAGGAAAAGTCAAACTTTACCAGGGGAAGATCTACTAGTTCTGAAAGAATAAGGGAAAAAAACAAAAACAAAAACAAATTCAGCAAGCAACAAGATTTAATAGTGAGATATCAAAACTTAAGTTTCTGCTTTGAAAAATAAAATATCAGCTTAACCAAAAGCATTT